ATGCCAAATATGTAGTCTCCTCTATGTACTTGTTAGGCATGTCATGTATGTAGTCTCCTTCATGTACTTGTTAGGCATGTCATGTATGTAGTCTCCTTCATGTACTTGGTAGGTATGTCATGTATGTAGTCTCCTCTGTGTACTTGTTAGGCATGTCATGTATGTAGTCTCCTCCATGTACTTGGTAGGCATGTCAAGTATGTAGTCCCCTTCATGTACTTGTTAGGCATTAGGCATGCCAAGTATGTAGTCTCGTCCATGTACTTGGTGGACATGTCATGTATGTCGTCTCATCCATGTACTTGTTAGACATGTCATGTATGTCGTCTCATCATGTACTTGTTAGACATGTCATGTATGTCGTCTCCTTCATGTACTTGGTAGGCATGCCAAGTATGTAGTCTCCTCTATGTACTTGGTAGGCATGTCATGTATGTCGTCTCATCCATGTACTTGTTAGACATGTCATGTATGTCGTCTCATCCATGTACTTGTTAGACATGTCATGTATGTCGTCTCATTCATGTACTTGTTAGACATGTCATGTATGTCGTCTCATCCATGTACTTGTTAGACATGTCATGTATGTCGTCTCCTTCATGTACTTGGTAGGCATGCCAAGTATGTAGTCTCCTCTATGTACTTGGTAGGCATGTCATGTATGTAGTCTCCTTCATGTACTTGTTAGGCATGTCATGTATGTAGTCTCCTTCATGTACTTGGTAGGCATGTCATGTATGTAGTCTCCTCTGTGTACTTGTTAGGCATGTCATGTATGTAGACTCCTTCAAGTACTTGTTATTGATGTCATGTATGTAGTCTCCTCCATGTACTTGGTAGGCATGCCAAGTATGTAGTCTCCTCCATGTACTTGTTAGGCATGTCATGTATGTAGTCTCCACCATGTACTTGGTCGGCATGTCATGTATGTAGTCTCCTCTATGTACTTGGTAGGCATGTGATTTATGTAGTCTCCTTTGTGTACTTGGTAGGCATGTGATGTATGTAGTCTCATTCATGTACTTGGTAGGCATGTCATGTATGCAGTCTCCTCCATGTACTTGGTAGGCATGTCATGTATGT